GACGCGCGCGAGTACAGGACGTTCGACCGCGACAGCCTGAAGAGGCACGCGCGCACGCACACGGGAGAGAAACCGTACGCGTGTGACGCGCGCGAGTACAGGACGTTCGACCGCGACAGCCTGAAGAGGCACGCGCGCACGCACACGGGAGAGAAACCGTACGCGTGTGACGCGCGCGAGTACAGGACGTTCGACCGCGACAGCCTGAAGAGGCACGCGCGCACGCACACGGGAGAGAAACCGTACGCGTGTGACGTGTGCGAGTACAGGACGTGCTCCCGCGACAGCCTGAAGAGGCACGCGCGCACGCACACGGGAGAGAAACCGTACGCGTGTGACGCGTGCGAGTACAGGACTTGCTCCCGCTGCAGCCTGAAGACTCACATGCGAACGCACACGGGAGAGAAACCGTACGCGTGCGATGTTTGTGAGTACAAGAGTTCGCACCTGGCGAATCTCCAGACCCACACGCGCACGCACACGGGAGAGAAACCTTACGCGTGCGACATATGCGGCTCCGCCTACACCACCTTTAGCAGCCTCAAGATGCACTTTTTCACGCACACGGGCCAGAAACCGTACGCGTGTGACGCGTGCGAGTACAGAACGTGCTCCCGCTGCAGCCTGAAGACTCACATGCGAACGCACACGGGAGAGAAACCTTACGCGTGCGATGTTTGTGAGTACAGGAGTTCGAGGCTGGCGAATCTCCAGACCCACGCGCGCACGCACACGGGAGTGAAACCTTACGCGTGCGACATATGCGGCTCCGCCCACGCCACCTCCAGCGACCTCAAGAAGCACTTTCTCACGCACACGGGTCAGAAACCGTACGCGTGTGACATCTGCTCTTCCAGGTTCGTATCCTCGAGCGCGCTCTCGAGACACAAGCGCACGCAGTCGCACCGAAGAAAAGTCATGTACAATCAATCGTGAGGGATGTGATGGACGGGTCTGCGGGTTAAACAGCTAATTCGTCAGACGTTAAACCTGTGGATACGGATGCACTCTCTCCAGTAGACTCCAGTGACATACACTCAGGCTTGTATGAGAGAAGAAATTCTGAAAGGCGATGTCCATGCAATCAGAAGTGATGTGACTGGCATTCTACCGATTAAACAGTTAATCAGCCAGTTCGTAGTTACGCACTGGAGCCCTATGACGTCATCGGGTCATAGGTCATTTGTACATAGCTGAAAAGTTGGATCGCGCGTTCGCTCGTACGCGCTTGCCGTATACTACATAATATGCATGAATGTTATACAGAAGCTATGTAAAATCGTGCCTGCGTTTGTTTTCTGTACTGAACCGATCGACTATCCGCCTGTGCTTTTTGTTTTTTGGATTTTTACGTGTGTGTATGATATTCATTGTGGGGTATTTTAGGTAGATATGCAGTGTCGGTTCTTCTCGGTCAGTCAGTTAACTGCAGTCAGTTCAGTCAGTCTCGGTCATATCATTTATTTATGGATGTCTTTTTGCTCCCTGGATTTCTTAATTCCAATAAAATTTTTGCAAATTTTATTAAACTGACTACTACTAGATTTTTGCTCAGAAACGCTCAATCCGAAAAAATATAGCGAAATATAGTCTCACCTCACAGTGGATATATCACTGATTTCACCAACATTAATAAAACACCAAGATTTTATGCAGTTATAACATAGAAAATTGGATATGAACACATCATAACACAATTAAAATGACATCGAGCCGCGAGATTCGTTAAATGTGTAAACTTGTAATTTGCTGCCGGATTTGAAAACAATTGCATTTGAGATATATTGTATGTCTATGGCAGATAGGTGGCGCTATTAGCTGAGAAGACCTATCAACACTAGTCCTAAGATTACAACAAACGTTTGTTTGCCAAACTAGTTCGAAAATTGCATGTTTTGGTGAATACGAAGGTTCTAAGACATTTTATCGTTACTCTAGACAATTGCTGTTACTCTAGCAATAACGGTAAGTGTCGTAAAAGTGGGGAAAACACTGGAGTATTCTCGAAATTATTACTTTAAATTAAAGAAAAGCAACAACAATTGCCTATAGATGCCTCTTGCATATATGTAGTCTCTCACTTCCTGTAGATATTTCAATCAACAAATCACTATATAGTGATTGACTTTAGAAATGTCTAGGCGTAATGTTGCCATTGCCGTGGTGATTTGGTCACGTGACTCCATCGAGTTCACGTGTATCTATACTCTGAAAAACTTGCTACACAGTTTTCAAAATGTTAGTGTGTAGTACACACTAACATTTTGAAAACTTTACGCTTCGTTGTGTAGTCCTGTCCTATTAAGTATAACTCGTGATTTTTAGTGCCATGCCCGCAGCAAACGAATCTGACTTCATCTTTGTGAGGCAGGGGAAGTTATCCGGGGTCTCTATTTTTTGTCCACAGGAAAGCGGACGACTGAGAGAGGAACCTGCATCGGGGAGGAAAGTGAGAGAGGAACTTGCATTGGGGAGGAAAGTGGGACAGGAAACTGCATCGGGGAGTAAAGTGAGAGAAGAACCTGCATCGGGGAGGAATCATGATCTCGATCACCGCCCGCTCGATGGAACCTTCTCCTCTTTCTTCTGCTTCTTCTTCTCCTCCTTCTCTTCCTCCTGCTCCTTCTCCTCTTCCTCGTTCTCCTTCTCCTGCTCCTTCTTCTCCTGCTCCTGCTTCTTCTGCTCCTCCGTCTTCTTCTCCTGTTTCTTCTCTTCCCCCTCCTCCTTCTCCTCTTCCTGCTCCTCTTTCTCCTCCTCTGTCTTCTTCTCCTCCTGCTCCTCCTCCCTCAGACGTGCAGAGCGAAGCGGGGGAGAAACCTCACGCGTGTGACGTGTGCGAGTACAGGACGTGCTCTCGCTACATGCTGAAGACTCACATGCGAACGCACACGCGAGAGAATCCGTACGCGTGCGATACGTGCGGGTATCGGTGCTCTCGGCTCAGTGGCTTACAGGCGCACGCACGCACGCACACGGGAGAGAAACCGTACGCGTGCGATGTATGCGAGTACAGGTGTTCGCAGCCGGCGCATCTCCAGAGACACGCGNGGTGTCCTGCGAATGCACACGGGAGAGAAACCGTACGCGTGCGACACGTGCGGATGCACGTACACGAGTCGAGTAGCCTCAAGAGCACGCGGTACGCACACGGAGAGAAACCATATGCGTGCGACTGCTGCGACTTCAGAAGCTCTCACTTGGCGAACCTTCGCATCCACACGCGCACGCACACGGGAGAGAAACCGTACGCGTGCGATGTATGCGTAGACAGGAGTTCTCAGCTGGCGAATCTCCAGATGCACACGCGCACGCACACGGGAGAGAAACCGTACGCGTGCCGATGTAGTGCGAGCTACAGGAGTTCTTCAGCTGACGGATCTCCAGATTCATGCACGCACTCACACGGAGAGAAACGTACGCGTGCGACATATGGCGTTACACTGCACCACCTCCGCAGCCTCAGGAAGCACTTCTCACGCACACCGGGCCAGAACCGTAGCGCGTGTGACGTGTGCGAGTACAGGACGTGGCTCGACCGCGCGCGGACAGACGCCTGAAGAGGCACGCGCTCATGCACACGGGAGAGAAACCGTACGCGTGCGATGTATGCGAGTACAGGAGTTCTCGGCTGGCGAATCTCCAGATCCACACGCGCACGCACACGGGAGAGAAACCGTACGCGTGCGACATATGCTCTTTCAGGGGCGTATCCTGCGGTGCTCTGTCGAAACACAAGCGCACGCAGTCGCACCGAAGAAAGGCCATGTACAATCAATCATGAGTGATGTGATAGACGGGTCTGCGGGTTAAACAGCTAATTTGTCAGACATTAAACGTGTGATACAGGGCCACTCTCTCCAGTAGACTCCAGTGACGTACACTCAGGCTTGTATGAGAGAAGAAATCCTGAAAGGGGATGTGCATGCGCGATCTGGAGTGATGTGACTGACAATCTACCGATTAAACAGCTAATTCGTCAGACATTAAAGGTGTGGATATGGATGCACTCTCTCCAGTAGACTTCAGTGACGTATACTCAGGCTCATGCGAGAGAGGAAATCCAGGAAGCCCCAGATCTGGATGTGGGAGGCTGAGTTGGAAGATGGACTTGTCTTCGAATAATCCCTGCACCGGAGGAATGAGGCGATTATTGTTTCGGACACTGGTGTCACGTTTTTCCTGTTTTGACCTACCTACCCATGCATTCGTTTTAAATTGCCTACGTCACGAATTGTCTTTGGTGTAAATTTGTAAACACGGCACTTGTAACAAGTACTAACGGCACTAAATGTATCCTCAAATTCTTACCCGATAGGATTGTTTCTCAACTAGTTAAAAATCCAAAAAAATCTGGGGGATTTGATATAATTATTGTTCACGACATTAAATGCTTACGATTGGCTAGTCTATGTATGAGTCACAAGTGTTTGTTTACATCGAACGATATAGCAAAATAGGAAGTATAATGCAGCAATTTAACGATAAAAAGTGAACAGAATCACTTACATTTTGTGAAGAAGTGGACATTTGGAACAGTTTGAAGTGTGACGTAATCACTTTAAATGTGTGAATACAGTTGGACTGTCGGCAGTAGTCTCCAGAGATGCATGCGTAGTCAGACGAGGCAGGTTTGTGGTTAAATAAGGCAGTGGCAGATCCTGGATTTTGAAATAGGGGAGGGGGCGAAACCGCATAGCCAGGATTTCATTTTACGGGGTGCGGATTTTGTGATAGCGCTGGTGCACACGCTTGCATGCTGAATAGGGGGGGGGCAAAAAATAGGGGGTTGCACGCCTCTTGCGCCCTTCCTTGATCCGCCACTGAATAAGCGGTTTGTTTTCGCTTCACTTGAGTTCACAGCTTGAAGTGACACGGGTGTCTTGCATGTGTGCCCACACCGCAGACTCACACTCACTGCCGTCATACGAACTCTGCATTTTACATGTAGTTCTGTCGTCCTGTCGACTATTGTTTAAAATGATTTTAAAATTAAATGAACGTGGTGTAAATTTTATATGGACTTTTAACGGCAAAATGGAGATGCAGTATGTATTCTGCATTGTACCTGTAGTTCTGTCGACTGATACTTAAAATGATTTTAAATTAAATATGACTACTAATGAGCTGTCAGAATTCTCACAGTCCTCCCTGGTGTCCTCGCTCTCACGACATTTTTTAACGGTTGGCTGGCCTGCACTACAGTAATACAATGTACACATACTCTGCCTGTTTACTCCATGTCTAAGTCATCTAAGGAAATTTCCACTGGGGCCGGATTCAAGAACAGTTTGTATGCACAATATTGTGCGTACCTACGTTCCTACGCACAAGCAGGCATTTAGGTATACGTCTCCATCATCACCATACACGTGCACGCGTTCACACACATCCACACTGGTCATTTACTGCGTGGATCATACATCTTGAATGATAAAGTTAATGTTTGGGACATATAGGGCAAAGAAAAACGATGCTCCGTAGGGTCGGATAGTTGATTTCATGGCAAGAGCAAATAAAAAGGTCGAGTAATGTAAACATTTAAGGAACCAGCCAAATCAGGCAAAGATAGCGTTGAGCTTTTCCTGGCAGACATGAAAGTTGAACACACACACCCCACCTCACCTCACCTACACTCACATCACCTCAAACGCACACACACCCATACACTCACCTCATCTTGAGTTTGTGGCTTGGTGGATACGGCATTGATTGCTTCAGTCACAGCTTGCCATGTCTTTTTATTTTAACTACAGCTGCCAGCTAGTTGCCAGCAAAACTTCCAAACAGTCCTCTTTCTCTGTCTCACTTCATAAATTATGAAGTCAATTTCCTCTGTGGAAATATTCCTATTCTTTCGCTCTTTTACAGTTGCCGTGTATATTTTAAATAACTTTGCTCTCACCACAATCTTTGAGAATGGTGCTGTAGGAGATGGGTGGCTATTAGGAGACGGTGGCTAGTTCATAAATGCTTGCTTTACGATACCTTACGCGAACCCACGAACTGCAGCAGAGCAACGATATAATAAAGTTCATGTTTGGATTAGGTGTGTTGTTGTACGTGCTGCTTTGGCATTTTGAAAGGCCAACATTGATTACCAATCCGATATTTAGATGACATTCATCTTAATGCCAACATTGTGCCTGATGTGCTAGATGGTGTACAGAATATTGGGAGACAGGAAGCTATGCAAATGATAAAGCACATCACGGAGAGGTGTTATACGTAAACCACGTTTGGTCATAACGTAGGGAAGCTTTTATTTAGCTCCCCTGTATAAAATGTATAATCTAGTTTTCCAAGTGGTTTAAAAACCAATATATGATACGTGTTGAAACTGAGTGATGCGAACCACGATCTATTATACTAACTATGTTTAATAGTTAGTATTATGTTAATTGTTAGTATAGATAGTTAATTTAGTTAGTATAACTAGAGATAGTGGGTGCGACAAGGCTGTACTGCTGTTTTGCAATGACTAAGTAAATACACGACGTGGCCTTGCTGCTACAGGTGACTTATGTGTGTCAACTTGAAGACAATTATTAACTATTTACTGTCAGGGTCTGCCACGTGTGGGCGGGCGGTAGGGGTGTGCCGCAACTAATTTTTGATATTAAAAAAGAAAGGAAAAATAGGTCAGATATATGGGCTTTTTATTTGTCAAGAATGGGCAGGAAACTTGAGTTTCTAGCGCTATCCATAAAATGCGGCCGCACAATAAAAATCCTGGCGAAACCTGATTACTGTATAATTCAACATGCTATACATTACTAAATGCTTCTTCATAACATTTTAAACAGTATACTGATCGTTTGTACTGACCAGGGATATTTTATTGTTTTACAGTCGCAACGCTGAAATGCCGGGGATGTCACAGGCCGTCCGAATTAAGTGACGAGAGGGGCAAGGCAATTTTTTGGGGGCATGTGAGAAATTGCCTTGAATTTTCACTTTCAATTTGCCAGAAGGGCAACCAAGGCACTTTTGTAAAATAAAGGAAAACTCATAACAAATTAATACATCAACACTGCAATGGAAGTACAGTAAGACAGGTTCAACGTTAAGCCTATTTATTTCACTGAGCCACGGGATCTAGTTAAACTGAGGAACCGCACTATGTCCTGACCTAACTTTCACTAGCCCAGACCCAGACCATTGTTATGAAAAACTTTGTGTCATCGTATGAATTCTAGCAGGAGTTAATAAAGACAAAGGACAAGGAGTTTGTCTTTATTAACTCCTGATTGTATGTCTATGGCAGATAGGTGGCGCTATTAGCTGAGAAGACCTATCGTGTTCGGATCTACGGATTCTTTCGGATTCTTTGGACGGATTCTGATCCGGATCCGATAACATTGAGTAGACCAGCAGCCGCACGAGAGAGCGGTCGGTTGGAGAGAGAGAGAGAGACTGAGGGAGAGAGAGAGAGAGAGAGAGAGAGTACATGCGAGAACGAACACGCGGTGAAACATGTGCGCGCATCGTACACGCACGCGCACGCAAACAGACGAGAGCCATACCGTGCCAGATGAACGTTAATCGGCTCACCTCCAACGAGAGAGTGAGAGTAACACGGAGACCAGAGAGTTACTCTGAGTTGAGTCGAGAGAGTCGTGTCGAGAGATGCCTGGTACGGTTAGTGTATTGTTCGAGTGACGACGTATATACGTATATATATATATATAATTTGAGACGAATAAACATCAACGTAAAGCAGAACGGAGTTGAGTTTTCCTGTGAGTACCTGTGCACTGACACCTGCTTATGAGACGAGTCAGAGACTGAACTATTGAACAATCGGCACTAGTCCTAAGATTACAACAAACGTTCGTTTGCCAAACTAGTTCGAAAATTGCATGTTTTGGTGAATACGAGTTCTAAGACTTTTATCGTTACTCTAGACAATTGCTGTTACTCTAGCAATAACGTAAGTGTCGTAAAAGTGAGAAAACACTGGCGAAATTCTCGTAATTATTACTTTTAATTAAGAAAAAGCAACAGCAATTGCCTATAGATACTCTTGCTTATATATATAGTCTCCTCACTTCCTGTAGATATTTCAATCAACAAGATCACTATAGTGATTGTAACTTTAGAAATGTCTGGGTCGTATGTTCCGTTGCCGTGGTGATTGGTCACGTGACTCCATTCGAGTTCACGTGTATCATATACATCTAAAAACCTGCGACACACTAACATTTCGAAAAGTTCGTCTCTTCGTTGTATAGGTCCTGTCTATTAAGTAACTCGCTGGGCTACCGCGCCGATGCCCCGGGAATTAAAGAGAGAAAAGAGCTAGAATTTTAGACTGCCATGGCGATGCGGTGATTAGTCGCTTTGACGTGCTTGGCACGTGGGCTGTCTTGGAGAGCCAGACTCTGAGGATCTGTGGTGCCTTTGGAGGGCCTCCATGCTTTACTTTGCTCCTGTG